TACCATTACAAATGTGAAGTTTTAACAAGTAACAAATAATGTACAGTGCAGTCTAAGCTCTTACTGAGACATGAAGACGCGATGCCAATTGCTAATCATTATTATCAAGTCTTTTGGTCAGGTAACGTCTGTACCATAGGACCAGTTCTGCAAAAAGTACCCCAAATGTAATCAACTAAATATAGTTATAATGAGAACGCCTTCACTTTTATTCTGCCCATCCTTACCCCTTATGAAGTTACGTTCAATTTGAGTGCCATATTAGTAATTAAACAGTGATATTTCCGGTGCTTTTAGCCTTTTTAATATCTTTCCTGGGACTTACCTTCAAAAATGATGTTACATCACCTTGCCACGTACCCTGTGGTAGTCGTCAACGCTGCATTGGGGTAGAATGATGCGTAAAAATTAAATTGTGCAAGGTTTTACGATGCAGCATTCATTCCAAACCCGAATCAATGATAGTAGAGAAATAAAGGGCAAAACTTGGAAAGGGACCCAAAGGCAGGACATGATTTATACATAAGTGCCAGTTGTTACTTTACACAATAAGCATCTAGTTCTATAAACATTCCAAAGCTTACATCTCAATGTTTGTCACAAGGTTTTGAGACGGAAAAGACAGATTTGTCACCGATGGCATTAAATATGAAATGATATTAAACACTGAAACCGATGCCAAACGAAAAGCGAGGCCCACAAAATCCTGATTAAGTATGAAACATCCTGTATTGCACCATTCTTTTTTCGTATGTATTCTGCTTCAAATAAAAGATATAACTCCTGCCTGAAAGGCTGGCCTGCGTTCTGAAGGGACAAAGAACAAGCAAATGATGTATCACAGAAATAGCAGACTGGATCTTGTGCAGTAATTACGTCATGCAGAACGTGATCTAGCAGATGGGTTTGTTTGATTTGGCGCCGTCTGCAGTTAACTCTAACTGTCATAGTCATGGGTGCGAATTACGTACACATACCGTCGTGCAGGTAATAATTTGTGTCTCTGTTGTTCGGAGTGTGTGACAATTTTTTTGGTTTAGTTTTCTTTTGTTGGTGTGGTTTAGTTTGGTTTCGTTTTGTTTTTAATACTCCACTAACCGTTTTAATGGTCCTCATTTCTGTGTGTGGCAAAACAGGCACGCACTATTGGTTGTATAGTAATCGTTGGGGGCGCCAGAGGCACTTGATGTGCACTGAAGTGTGCGCCTGTCAATTTTGGAGCAGTGTTTAGTGATTCCTCTTGTAGTAAGGCTCACGGGCGTTCCTAGGAAGGGTGTAAAGCTCTTTCAAGCGAGACAAACCGTTCGCCATGTGGCGTATCGCGTCGACGGGAGGATGAAGGGGATGGTAATGATTCATTTAGGGATGGAAAGATTGCCGAATGGAAATGCAATTTTAAGAAAAATGTCTGCTCCCCAAAAGACCTGGATACGCCAATACATGTTGCCAAGACATTAACAGCGGAATGGGTTTTAATTCCGAGGTGTTTTTCAAGCAAAATGGTGATTTATTCATTTTTTCTCTTTTCGTTTCTTTGACGACTTTTTTTTATTCTTACCTGTTCCTTTTATTTTCCCCTCATGCTTTCCTTTCGCGGCGCCCACAGCGAGGCCCGCGGTTTTTTTTTTTACCTCAAAGCATTTTTTAGTACGCGCCATTTGCCTCGAGAATGAACTTGGAAACTAGTACATTTTCGGACTGCTTTGTTCACAAGAAAGGTATCACATAGGTCAAAAGGCAATTAAAATACATAACTTAAAACTACATTGACCTGCTTGTGCGTGGAATGATTATTGTGCTAAGCCATGGGCGAAATCAACCGAAAACAAGGAAAAAACATGTAACTGTTATGTGGGTCGGGAGCTGCAACAGTGAAAGAAACTAATACTACCTGCAGGTAGGCCTGTGCAGCCCTGCACAGAACAATTAACATAGACATAGGCAAATAACAAACACTATGCCGTGATTCAGAAAAATAATGGCTCCCAAGGGAGGTAATCAAAATTATGACCAGACACGCCAGAGAGACAAATTTACATGAACAATGTGCTGTCTCTGGATTTTGGAAGACTAAGTTTAATTTAAAGAAATATAGAGACGTGTACAACGTTTACAAGTTGAATGTGGCATGAGCATTGAGTATATATCCAATTCATTTTCGTAAGTCACAGTTTGGAAGCATGCTAAATAACCTTCGCAAAGCAGAATTGTGTGCAATAACTGAAGTAATGATGTCCTATTGAGGAAATAAACAATAATTGCTTCAGTTAATTCAATTTTTACGATATTTCAGGCTTTGAATTGCAGGGATTGCCTTTTCTAATATTTTAAATAATCTTGATCGACTTGCATCGGTTTAACTGATTTGTTTTGGGGGGATTTTTTAAAAAAAATTTATATCAGTTCGAAGTAATACGTGATTATGTGATTCGGAGTCAGGTTAGCGTAGTGGTTTTCTCCTCACCTTCCATCTCTGCGGACCGGGTTCGAATCTAGACCAAGTCCACACGTGGATTGGGACTTTAGTCCCTGCGTAATAATGTGGGTTTTACACGAAATATTCCTCTGGGGCTCTGAGGTTTTAATTCCACCTCTAAAACTATAACTGCTTCGCGCTGTCTCCTCTCTATTAGTTTCTTCAGGCTTATGAGCTACAGAGCTTAGGGCGCTTTGTGGAATCCTTGGTGTCATTACCAGATATGATTAATAACAATAAAGGTACATTTTACTATGTTAGGAAAGAAAATAAATTAAATTAGAGGAAGTGGTTGTTTGCAACAACCACAGAGCTTTTTTCGGATTTCGAGTGGTTTAGCATGTAATTGTATTATGATTATGAGTTGTGTTCATGGACAAGCAGCTGGAGTAAGAGTGCACACCTGATATGAAGTCAGTCTCATGGAGAAAAGTGCCAAAGACTGGCTGTTTAAAAATGTACAAAACCGACAGGGAAAAATAAAAATACAAAAATAAATAAAAAAAAAATCACAGAATGACGTCATCAGGACGTCATCAGTCTGCAATAATTCTTGTATCAGGGTCTTTGTTTGGTGTAACTTTGTTACAAGTTACCAAAATGGTGGTTTGAATCGTGTATAAAGTCATGGGAAAAATGATTATTGAAAATCAACAATAAAGCAGATGATGACGTAATTTGGAATAATTTTTTATCGAGGACCCTGTTGGCTATCACTTTGATGACGATCAAACATCCAGGCGTTACCAAAATGGTGGCTTTAAATTGTGCACAAAGTTAATGGGTCGAAATAAATATTGAAAACTAAATAATAAATCAGATAATGACGTCATCACGACGACATCTATTTGAAAAAAAATTCTTGTATCAGGGTCTCTCTTGGTTGGCTGTAACTTTGATAGCGATCAAACATCGCGAAGTTACCAAAACGGTGCTTTGAAAACATATACAAGGTCAATGGGCCTTAAACACATGCAGCAAACTGCTCCTTTAAGTTCATGTCACGTGATTTGCACTTAAACTGGAAAAGTTTTATGAAATATTACTTGATATTTTGACTCTTTGGTATATTTCAATTGCAAAAAACAGGATTTCTCATTTGTGGTAATCTTGAGCCGAAGATAAAGACTACTTAAGTAGAAAAAACGTGTACGAAACCTATTGAGAAAAAGGTCAGCTTTATTCTCATGTCACGTGACCTCCGATGATGCCATTTTAACGGTTTTGTCCTGGGATCTGCTGTCCATGGTGGACTACCCGTGTACATAAATGGAATAAATCGGATTGACCAGAGTGCCGAAAACTGGCTGTTGAAAAACGTGCACAAAACCTAAGGGCCACATTCAATGTCCAAATTTGTTTTAAAATAGGTTATAATGTCATTCCGACTTCACAAATTGTGCAAAATTCTTTTTTTCAGGGTCTTTGTTGGCTGTAGTTTTGATGACGATCAAACATAAGGAAGTTACCAAGGGGTGGTTTGAAAACGTGTACAAAGTCAATTGGCTGAAATAAATATTGAAAAATCAATTTAAAAAATCATGACGTCATCCTTTTGCAATAGTTATCGTTTCAGGGTCTTTGTTGGGTTTTACATTGATAACAATCAAACATCGCAAAGTTACCATAATGGTGGCTTGGAAACATGTACAAAGTCAATGGCCTAAAACACGTCTAGCCCACTGTTCTGTGTTGGTATAATTTACATAACGTTACCGCGTGCGATGACCGATGTTCTTACAGAAAATATTCATATAATAATCCAAAATCAACATGTGTTATATGGTGTAATCTCCAATCTATCCAGCAAACTATATTGATTCTTTGCTTGTGATCATTGCCTCTCAGGTAGTTATAATTATTAGAAAACAATACCTTCCCGAGAAGCCGATGGGTCTGTTTGTGTTTTGTTAAAAGTTCCAGGGGGCTAACGTAAAGCATACCGTCCATTACATATTGGGACCATGTGTACATGAAAGAGGCTTAACTTAGAAATGACCAACATAAATAATAGTTTTGTAATTTTTAAGTGATTTGGCATATAGAGATTGATAACGGTTTTTGGTACATGAAGTTGGATTGACATGTTGCACGAGTTATTCTTGTCCATGTTATAAATGTGTTCTTTAAGTGTATTTTATGGAGAGGCATGTCATATCAATCCACACTGAGAAAGATTTGATTAAAGGTCATGCATGCATATTAAGGAGTCACTGACCATGATGCATGTGCAAGGGCCTGGCTATGTGTTTATAGCTGTCACTTAGTGCCCGTAAATTCCAGGTGTACTGCTGGACTCATAATTTCAGTACATGTGTATGGAATGCCACTTATGTATTGGAGTATAATTACTTCATAAGTTCGTTTATCTGTGAGAAGAGAGCATGTGTTCTTCGTTACATGTACATGAATGCTGTTAAATCTAACTATTTTCAGACAGAGAGGGCGCTCTTTATCATTAACAGTGACTTTCAGAATGTTGTCTCGCCACTGGGTGGCGGTGTTTACTTTATCACCAAACAATACCATCACGGCCGATTCCTTCCATTTTTCCCAATGTAATTACCGCGCTTGTATCCAATCAGATTCCCTTTTCGTAATCATTGGCTGGGTGAGTTACCCAAATATTTCTTCGTATGATTATATAAGGATTGGTTTCAAGAGATTTATAAGCAATCTGTGGAGCGATTTAGGGGGATTTGGAGGGATTTCTATGGGATGGTTTTGTGAAAGTTAGGAAGTGTAATGTACATTCACATTGTGCATTATTATGTACTCATTGATTATAATCGCAGCTTAATTAATTAAGGACTCCTGAATACTAACTATTTGCTTGTTAATTAATATCCAACTATATTGTCTTTATATATAACGGTTTGCCCGTACCCAACGTATATTAATAAGCACTGTATGCTC